TTAGCCACGATGGTCTCGATCTCCTGACCTCGTGATCCGCCCGTCTCGGCCTCCCAAAGTGCTGGGATTACAGGCTTGAGCCACCGCGCCCGGCCTCTATTTTTTTACTCTAATTTTTTTTACTCTAATTTATTTTTTACTCTATAGATTTACTCTAATCTATTTTTTCTATTTGCTCCATTTTTTCTATTTACTCTCATTTTTTCTATTTACTCTATTTATTTTTTCTGCTATTATTTCTACTATTATTTACTCGATTTTTTCTACTACTATATTTTTTCTCTACTAGTAATAAAAGATCATATTTTATTACTTTGGTGTTAATTGCTTCTTATGAAGAGTCTTTTCTTTAGGAGACAGTGTCTTGCTCTATTGCCTAGGCTGGAGTACAGTGGCATGATCTTGGCCTACTGCAACCACCGCCTCCAGGGTTCAGGTGATTCTCTCACCTCAACCTCCTGAATAGCTGAGATTACAGGTGCATGCCACCACACCAAGCTGATTTTTATATTTTTAGTAAAGACAGCATTTTGCCATGTTGACCAAGCTGGTCTTGAACTCCTGACTTCAAGTGATCCGCCCTCCTCAGCCTCCCAAAGTGCTGGGATTACAGGTGTGAGCCACCACGCCCAGCCTGAAGAGTCTATTTTTATGCTTGTTTTACCTCTGGTAGTTTTTGCAGTTTTAATGTTTTACCTTATGACATATTTATGTGTGGTTTTATTTTTACTACTGTTCAGTAGACAGTATAGTTTCACCACACCCTTGCTGGCTTGAATGGATACTTACCTGTTTTGTTTTGTTTTGTTTTTTAATTAATTTATTCTTTTGAGACAGAGTTTTTGCTCTTGTCTCCCAACTTGGAGTTCAATGGCACGATCTCAGCTAACTGCAACCTCTGCTTCCCAGGTTGAAGCAATTCTCCTGCCTCGGCCTCCTAAGTAGCTGGGATTACAGGCGCCTGCCACGACACCTGGCTAATTCTTCGTATTTTTAGTAGAGGCAGGGTTTCGCCATATTGGCCGGGCTGGTCTCAACTCCTGACCTCGAGTGGCCCACCTGCCTTGGCCTCCCAAAGTGCTGAGATTACAGGCATGACACCCAGCCATCTGTTTTATTTGTTAAAATCTTTATTGCTACAGGCTGGGCTTGGTGGTTCACAGCTGTAATCCCAGCACTTTGGGAAGCCAAGGCAGAAAGAATGCTTGAGACCAGGATATCCAGACCAGCCTGGACAACATAGTGAGACCCTGTCCCTACAAAAATTTTTTAAAAATTTAGCTAGGCATGGTGGTACATGCCTGTAGTCCCAGCTACTCTGAGGCTGAGGCAGAAGGATTGCTTGAGCCCAGGGGTTCAAGGCTGCAGTGAGCCATGATCGTGCAGCTGCTCTCCAGCGGGGATGACAGAGAGAGACTCTGGCTCAAAAAAAAAAAAAAAGACTACAACCTCTGTCTACTGGGTTCAAGCTATTCTCCTGCCTCAGCCTTCCAAGTAGCTGGGATTACAGATGCCTGCCACCACACCTGGCAGATTTTTATATTTTTAGTAGAAATGGGGTTTCACCACATTGGCAGGGTTGGTCTCGAACTCCTGACCTCAAGTGATCCATCTTCCTCAGCCTCTCAAAGTGCTGGGATTACAGGTGTGAGCCACCGCTCCCAGCCCTCAAAGAAATCTTTATTGATATATAATTAAAATCTCTCCATTTTAGTATATAGTTCAGTGAGTTTTGACAAATGCATATATCCAGGTGACTACCACCACAGTCAATATATAGAGCATAACTTAGCCTGGAAAGGTTCCCTCATGTCACTTAACAGTTAATCTACCCACTCCCTCGTTGGCACCCACCTTTTCTCTTTCCGTAATAGACATAGATTTTTTTTTATTTATTTATTTGTCCCCATTACTCTCATATGAGTCCATTTCCCAAATATTTCTGTTTCCTATCCTCAGAGTTCAATAGTTCTGCAGCTTTAGCCCCATCACTAACTTCTGTGTTTCTGTTCCATCGCTGGTCCATGGAGATGTAATGTCTTGGCTTTAACACCATGATACCTCTTTTTGAAGGAAGAGAGGGATGGATTTCAAAAATACAAGTCTACTACTCACGTCTGCTACCCAGATTTAACATATGTTCATGTTTTGCCTTGTTTGCTTTAGATATCTTCAAATAAAAGAAAAAAAATGTTATATGTAACTCAAGTTCAAGTTCCTTTTCATTCTCTCTTACCCAGAAATAGTCACTGTCCTGAAGTTGCTGAGGTCATTCTTATGCATATTGTAATTGTAATTTTTTTTTTTTTTTTTTTTT